TCCCCTGTGTCAGAGAAGCACTGCTGGTTTAGAAGAGGGGGCGACCCAATCAAATCTAATCTATTTGAGTCTTCACTAGAGCGGCACTAATTATCACACCTTTTTATTGCAATATTGAATTTCTTGCAATATCCGTATAACTGAAAATTCATGTATTTATTATTTTATTATACAGTTTGATTTCAAGTTTAGCCCTGGTTAAAATTGTGTTTTCTACCAAGCTAATCAAGTAGTTTTTTTAGAATTAGATCTGGTCTAAACTAGGTTTATGGTTGAGTTTAGACTTTCTACTTTAGTTTACAGTGATTTAGTGCAGATTAGCCCAGTCAAAGTATGGTTAAGAGCTATTCAGTGCAAGTTAATCTTCTTATAGGTCTGTTTTATACCAGTTTTAGTCATCATGATATAAACATTTTTATTCTGGCCTGTTTTTTACCAGCTACATTAAAGCTTTGCTATGGTATACAGAATATTGCATTATTTAAAAGAGTTGCGCCATGTTGTTTATTTTCCTAACATTTTGCAGCCAAAATGCACCCTCACAGATGAACTATTATGACGCTGGAATGAAAAACCCAACGTGTCTCTCCCAGTCGCCTTGTGTTTCATAAAATCACTTTTTTTTTTACAAATAGGATGTCTCCTGTCAGAGTACACCAGTGTCTGAGTGTATCCTGAAAATGGCACATTTCTCATTTTTGGCACATGTTGTCACCGTTGTACCCCTCCAATTTGTGTTCGGTGTGCCCCCCTCCTGCTCCTGGTTTGACTAAAATCCAATTTACTGGCTGTCAGCTCAACTCTATAATCCTATCCACAGCTGTAGTGGAGAGGTGGTTCTTTTTTATATGTACTATTTACTGTATATGGCTGGTTATAGCTATAGCATTGCTCCCTGCTGTCTGTATATCCCATGGTATGCCACCTCCTCCTCTCTTCTTGGCCAGTGCACGCATTGAGTAGGCGAACGTGTAGTGTGTCTTTGGAGATAAAGTCCTTTTTCTGTCACTGCAGGTTTTGCGTCTTGGGGGAATATATGTGTGGTTTTATCTTTCGGTAAAGCAGCACTGGGCGTATCGCTGGAGCACATTGGCTGGCTGCAGGGAGCGCGGGCTTCACACTGTGTGCATGTAGCCAGTGCTGGGACAGTAATGTAGAGCTGGACACCCACAGTAAAGATAACTAATATGTCCCTTTATTCCACATTATTACACATCTAGCAGTCCGCAGCGCTATTTAGATTCATTATCCAAGTCTTTAGCCATAGATATGAAAACAAGAAGCATACTGATAATCCATTACTGCCTCTTGTGAACTCATTACTTTGTCTAACTTGGGTTTATCTTCAAGGTTGCCTCGCCTCACAGTCCCTCCACTTTCTGTCTATTTTCTTCTCTCTTATGTTGGATTACATAGCATCCATTGAACTATCGCACATAGTCTTTTTTATTGTCTCATGGCACATTTCAAGCATGTTTTCTCAATGCCAATGCCAATACTTTGTAGTAACATCACGCTGGGGGGTGTTCTGCCTGTATGTATATAAGGCTATATATACTACTTTTTTTTTTTTTTTTTTTTTTTTAGATGAGTCTGAAAATTCAAGAAAACATACAAAATGGATTTAAACAACACATTTTCAGGAACCTGTGATCAATACGAGTGTACAAGGGTCTGTTTACTTGTTTGATGTGTGAGAGTTTTTACAGCACAACTCGGCTCACCTGTTGTAGTCAATTCTTTATGGTCAGACTATGTTAAAATTAAAACTCAGATTTAAGTCCAATTTGAATACAGAGCAGTGTCTATAGTTAGCTTCACAACCCAGGGAATACTGAAGATATCAGCTGCAAAGTATCAATGCCTACATAAGGACATCAGTCATTTTGTTGTTTTATCCTGAACTGACTACATTTTCTTGGTTTGGGACTGAAACAGTGAGTACTAAACAAAATTATCTCTGAATACATTCTACGTGATGATCTTTCTTGTTGGATTTGTGCTAAACAGAGGGAAGAATGTGTGTATTGTTCTGGTATTACTTTAAGAATTTTTATTAGAATGCCCTTTTGGCTTTTTGCTGCATTGTAATTCATACCAACCATCACTGCTACTACTAAATACTTCAATAGCAAATTCCCCTTCACACGATCTTACTATATGCACAATTTAAACACAGGACATGCCATTTCCTCTGTAAATTTAATGGTAATTGATTCTGCTGGAGCTTCCACGCGCCTTTGTTGCTTTCACTCAATTTCCTTGTCATTTTCTGTGTGAATGCATATTTGCCAAAACACGCGCAGGTCTACATCCGTCTGTGTATGAGCCGACACGGGTCTATGCCACCATAAATAGGAGTCATGGCCAGACTGAGAGGGGTACAATGGTTTCCCAGCAGACCACCACCATCGCCGCTGCTTCGGTTTCAACCAATGGCCTTAAAACATTTGCATTTCTCCACATTTCCTGGGAAAGGCCCGCATTTCATGAATGGTAATGAAGGTGGCGAGTTTTTACTGGAGAGAGGCGCACGCGAAGAGATGGCCTCGCAATTACTCTGGGATGGTCAATTTGCACATTTCACACCGGCTCCTGTGGCTGTGATATGAAAATGAGGGAAATGGATAAGCCCCCCACAAGACCCCGGCTAACATCAACAATTAATTCTGGCATTTAGAAAGTGCAAAGATACGGGACTTTCGAAAACACACAATACAAAAAAGTTATAACGCAGGGTAAATGGGAAATTAAAAAAGAATCCATTGTTTTGTAAATTGATTCTACCAAAATAGAATTTAACTTCTGTCTGACAGATTGTACAATTTTATGAAAAACAATTTGATGGCAACAATACAAATGAAGAAAATATGGGATGGAGCAACATATGGTCAGAGGAAGCCAATAAATGTGTACTTCTCTTTAAAATGCCACTTATCTGATATTGTAGCTAAACATGGCATTCTTTCTTATTTATTTTACATACTCCTACTTGCTGATTATTGGAACTTTTACCAGCTATAGAAAAGGTACAGCCTAAACAAAAGCTGGATTAATTGTAGCACATATACACATGGTTATGGGCACTACTTTAAAGTGCTCTGCTACTGACAAAATAAATGTGATTTTGAAAAAAAAGCTAAGTTTAAAATTACATCTAACTTCCAAAAGCACTAGTTAGTATGAAACAGCGGTAGTAAAACATCTCCATTTGAACACATGGTAGCCTATATTTATGCACTATGGGAAATGATTTTGAGATTTGCAATTTGATGCAAACACAGAGCAATCCCCTTTTATGAATGTACTTGTGAATAGTAAGTACCAAAATAAACACGTGGTGCCCTCCTTGCTAAATAAATACAGATGCTTTAATGTGTTTATGTAGCTTGACAGATGCCCAGGTTTTTATCTCCTTATTGAATTTGAGGTTTTTTCATTTCTTAGGTGTGTGCGTGTGCGCTTTTCACACATGTGCACAGGCCACAGCAGGGGTAGAGAAGAAAGTTGGTGTGCAGATAAAGATGCCCATGCAATATTCTGAGTCAAGCGTGGCCCCTGAAGCATCTTAAGGGCCCAGAGGGAGGCGGCTGGGGAGGGGGAAATGCGGCCGCGGCGTAATAGAGGGTACTGGGGGCTATGGAGGCTGTCTGAACTTATCAAAGGGACTGGGGGTCTGCTGCTCCGGCCCCAGATGCAGAGGGGTTACATGGGCCGAGGTGCAGGGGCGCAGAGGGGAGCTGATGAGCGGGATGAAGGGGAGAGCGCGTGGGTGGGGGGCCTACGTGCGCAGGATAGTCAATCTCCAGATATAATGGTATGGCAGCCATGCTAAAACAGAATGAGATAGAGGGAGTATTGAAGGTTCTACAAACTAGGTTTCGCTTAGGCTTATGTTCACTGAAATCAATAGTAAGATTTAACAGTATCTTATTATAGAGTTTGGCAGATTTTTCATCCATGGCTAGAAAAATTTACACAGTTATCCTTTCAATTATGAACCAACCTATTCTTAAAGGAATTGCAGGTTACTGGTTTGTGTTATGCATTATAACTTTAGACCTATACTTGGTAACTCTGCTTGGATCTAAATAAAATTTCATTTCAATCCCCTATTTTAGATAACAAACCAGAAACTTGCTGAAAAAAAATGCATATGTAGATTCCATTTCACTTACAGGCACACTATATGAAGATAAGTTATAGTTATCTTAAGCCTCATGCCTTACTGTGAAACATTCCTATTGGTTGATTGTGAACAAAGCAAGAACATTTCTATGGAGATGAGCCAGATGGTAGACCCCCCATCAGAAAAGTTATAGTGCATCTTTAAAGGTCCTATATTACACAAAATTGATTCCAGTGAGCTTTAAGCCGTATCAGAATGATGTTACCTCATCAAAAACATACCAGAAGTCGTGTTTTGTTTCACATATCTTTGAGTAAGCCTATAAATCTGTCTGCATCTCCAAAACTCTGGTCCACCTTGTGATGGAGCAGAAGTATTCCAGTTAACAGCTACCTTTTACCTCTACTTTGGCAGAGATTGGAAGTTTCAGGACTGAAATTATTAAGTATTTCTAGTAAAGGTGTCTGGAGTTTAAAAACAGTGGAGCACTTCCTAAACTATCATGCGAGACCGAAAACAAAATGTTTTCTAATTGAAAAAAGAACTCACCTTAAATATGTAGGGTTTGTGTGAATGAAACAAAACACCTCACCCTATCCTTAACACCAGATATGTTTTTGATGAGGAAAAACATAATAACATAGCTCAGGAATAGCGTGATATTGGCTTTTTAAGAATACATCATATTTCTAGGTTACAGGTGTTAAATCAATCTCACATTGCAAGACTTTAATCTGACCCAATAAACTGACCAAAGCGCCTACGGTAATTTTTTTGTGTGAGAATCTAAAACATCTGTCACGTCCATAAACGCTCTAATGTGTGTCCATTTGACTTGTAGTGTGCGTGGCATATGTCTTTTCCAACTCACCGCATGTGCATATGAGCTGTAGGTGCTGAAGGGAAGGGCGATGGCGGGGTTGAAGATGCCGAACTGCCCCACCATCTGCTGCATGCGTCTGATGGTGCGCTCCTTATCTGTATCGGCAAACTTTACCACCAGGCTGGAGGAGGCGCCCTGGGAGAGAGAGGAGCAGAGAGAAGACATGGACCATTGACCTTGCCGTACTGCACATCAATTTAATGCAAACAGTCACACATCAGAAGAGAAGGAGTAGAAGGAAAGAAACATTTGCATATGTGGGTTTTTTAATGGAATGTGCTGTATGTTTTCAAAGAATTCTCTACAACCTCGATTCACATGTGTAGGATGCTGTGTAGAAAGTCTGTAAAGAGAATGGAACTGTCTTTAACTGAATTTTCCACAAATGTGTTGTATGTATGTTTGTGTTCATTTCCTCCTGCAGTCCTCCAGAATTAGTTTTGAAAAGTCAGACAAAACGTGTGCATAAAGAAGAGTGTTACTTATTATTTGTGATTTCTTAATATGCTTCTGTTCATTAGCAGCAACAACAATCCCCGGTAACATCAATACTCAGTGAGCTGCTCTAATTGTGTGTCAGAATGACTGGCTTTGCAGATACAACATCATTGCAAATTTGTATCGGAGCATCATCCTTTTCCTTGTGAGCGGCATACCGAAGCAGAGGCTGCCAGAGATGGCAGAATAAAAATATTGGGCTTTTTGCCTGAGCTGCTCTGTAGGCAGATGTGCGAGCAGGAAGTGCGAGTTTCTTCAATCAGTGTTTAACATATGTACAAAGTCACTGGGGGCAGCGCTGCATCGCTGTGCATGACATAAATACTTTATATTTTCTGGCCGCCTTCCCCCATGGTACATATATGTAACCTTGGTGCTCCTTCTTCTACTGCAAAGGTTAAAACATTCACATTGCAGACTGCTTTGAAATAACAGATACGATTGGAAGAGCTACCAGTAAGCATCTCTTGACCTTGGTGAAGGTGTTCTTAAAAGGAAACATTTCTTTTTAGGGCAATTTCTGTCATTCTGTCCTATTTCTGTTAGTGCTCCTCCTCCCAGGCCTGGGCGATTCATTCTGTTATCAACACTATTATCTCTTTGTAGAGCACTATAATGAAAGCAGCAGGTGTGTCCGCCACACACCCTTCATTAAGAATCTTCAAATGATTTAGCGCTACAGTTGACCTTTCGGGTGCTCCGCCTCTCCTCCCCTCGGTGCCCCCAAACTGGCCAATCGATCCACATAAAAGGCCGAAATATTACTCTGATCTGACAGTGCAGAAAGGTTGTGTCACTCCTGATAAGAGGCCCCCGGAAATTGATGCAAAATTGTCAATACACTCTGGTGCCTGGATTGAACAGAGGCTGGGGGAGCAAAGGGTTATTTCTTGTTTGGTGAGAAATGGCTTAAATTTTGACTTTTTGCAAGGCATGAACAGTACTGAGAAAAGGTCTGGCTGTAAAATGCTCACGTATTATTTTAGTCAGTAGTGTAATCTTTGCGTCCATCTCAAAATGTGTGTTTGCTGTTTCCTTTTTTTGACCTTAACATAATGTTCTCAAATAATACAGTTCCATCTATGTGTGAATCAAAGCACTGATGGCTAACACTGTTGTTTGCTGTAGTCATCAAACCAACAGTATATCATTGCCTCATGTCTTAGTGTGTTTATTAAGGCTGATAAAGACATCTGCACATCGCCATGTGTTTAGTAAGAACCACTGGACCTTTCAACTGTAACATATAGATTTTATCCATTTCCTCTCCTCCCAGCTTTCCCAATAACCCCATTAAACCTTTCGGGTTTGGTTAGCAGTTGCTTTGGCTGGACATATAAAGATGATATTAAAGGTGCTGCAAAAACATTCAATTCGACATATGAAATTCAGCAACTATCTGTCTTAACCTGCAGTATGCATATTTCAGCCATGCTCCAGGTGAACTGCACAGAGCACCTTTCAACTGCCACTGACCACACACATATTTCATGATACACAATCTAAAACCAGTAGCTTGTGGCAAATTCATGGCTATCAGCACACTGGCAAATATAATATCCATAATGCAACTGACAAAATTAGCGGGGGTGCAAGGTCTTCAGCACACTGAGCTACAGCTGTCTTCCTGATTGAACCATATGGGTCGGCCTTTGCCTACGCTGATCAGCTGTCAACATTTATGGAGAGGCTCTGTCATCTGGCCATCACTATTTGGCCTCTGTCAGACCCGCTCAAACTTCTACACTTGTATATTTTCTAGCTGTTATTCCATCAACTTTAAGACTGTAGACTTTACTTGTTGCTAAAAACAGATTTCTCTCGCTAAAAGTTTCCATGGAGATACTCTTTACCTGTCAGCATAAGTCAGTGAACATAGTTGCGATTCTGGCCCCAGTACACTTTCTATTGAAATATCTCTCCATAACCGCTGCTGTTAAACTTGCCATTCTGATCTTAAAGTGTTTGTTTTAACCCACTCTACGTGATCTGGAGTGTGATATTTTTTCTGTAAATAAAGATATGAACAACAAACTAATCAGATATCTTCATTCTTTAAAGTCAGTTCACACTAGCTTTAGCAACAGGCCTGTGCCCGCCCACGGTCAAACCAGTGGTGAAGGCAGGAAGGGGCAGTTACCTTCAACAACCTCGCTTCTGACTGGCTCTTTGGTTGTGCACCTGGATTTCCAAATATGGGCTCTGTTAATAGATTAGTGGCTATAACTGTCTTCATTTGGCTGGAGCTGAACACTATGGTTCCACTATATGGTCAGTGGTCATAATGTTTTGCTTGATCTGTGTATTGCTGCTCACTAGCTTGAAATATGCAGGAAGTGATACACAGTTTAGGCCAGTAAACCTGATGTCTTACCTGATGTTCCCTTACATGCCCTCAGTCTTCAAATACTGCTTGCTCTGTATAGGTCTATTAATTAATAAGGACATGTTTTATATCATCTGGGGATTAAAGAGTTAAATTTGAAATGAGATGAAGTTAGTGGTCTGTGTGTCGTGTCTGTCCAGCTTTTTACTGTGTGCATCATTAACTTTATTATGAGGTTTGGGAGCGTCCAGGACAGGGCAGCGGAGGAGCGGAATACAAATGATAGGTGCTAATAAATACTGAATATTTTAACTCGCCATCATCGTTAAAAGATGCCTGCGATGTTTACTGTTAGGGTCATCGTTAAAACATCAGTGGGATGGATAATGTTAGGCCTAAAAACAATACTGTCAGCAAGTTTTCCGGCGCGGTGCAGAGCTGCTTGGTAAATCACAGAATCCTGCTTTATTGTGAAATAACCTGTCAGAACCTGTAAGCAGACGCGGGCCATTTGTTCCAGTCTGCAAAAAAGTCTAGCAGCACATTGGCCTCTGCCTCCTACTAGCTCTCTCCAGGACACCTGAGTATGCGAGCTTGTTGGCTAAGCATCCCTTGCCACATTTGTTTATCTTCCAGGTTTGTGCACCAAGGCATGTCAGGACATCGGCGAGCAGTATCCGGGGCTGCTATAAAGGGGAGGAAGATGATGTGTGAAGTAAAAGTCTCATTAAATTTTTAAGCTGCCTAGTGTGAGCACAATCCCCCTGCTGGGCGGCCCCCAGCTGCCTACCGAACCGCTGAAGGAACGCCAGTAAAAGACAGAGGATGAAACGACTACATATTAAAGGCACATTCCACAAAACCACCAGCTCCAGTCTGGCTCTTTCCATTCGCCTCTCGCTGTCTCTGCTGCGCCGTCCCATGTGAGAAGAGGCATGACGCTGCAAGAAGGGAAGCATATTTTCTTTAAGCATCCTTCTGCCACTGTTGGGTTTGGGGAAAAGAGTTGCAAGCAAGACTGATAGAGTGTCAAAAGTGAAGAAATACACGCGCACCATGAGGGATTTAGATTAGCCGCATTGATATTCTGTCTTTTAGATGAAAATGATTAGCTCAGAAGTGTGGCTGGTGTCACTAATGTACTGACTGTGATGAAGTAATGACAGTGAAACAACTTTTCTACACTTTTATCTCTTCATCAGTCTGTAATGGCACTAAAGCTGCATGGGTTTTCACCATAGTCCAAACTATAATCCACTCAGATATCTTATCAAATTGTGGCACAACTTATCAAACAAGTTATTTAATTTATCTAGAGGAGCTTGTGCCACATGCCGCCGAGAATCAGAACAATATTTAACTTTGTTTTAAGTTGGTGGTACTATTATCTGCTGTGGAGCCTAGACACAGGACTACAGACAGTATTAGGCTCCAGCAATTTGACATTCCTGTTGAAACGGCTGGTGGTTTGCACTATCAACAAAGGCCTCGGTAAAAGAGATTGGCTAAAGGTTGGGAAAAATAAAACTTTTTTGCGACACAACTTATTGCTTTTTCTTTATCCCTAATTGCCTCAAGGGTTCAACAATCACTCACCATTCAATATAATTCAACAATGGCGTATTTTATAATGAGTAAAAGGTAACATTTCATAACCACACCTGAGTAGCCTTAACACAACTTGAACAAAGACTTAATTTAATCAACAAATAGCTTATTAAAAATGTTTCATGCTTCGTAACTACTAATATTTATCCTAACCCCAAATACTAACCCCTTAAATATGACGTATTTACTAAGCTTGAATCATTCTTAATGAGCTGCACTTATTGGATATTAAATGCTAACATATAACATATTTAGATCACCGTATTACCTTTTATTGTTTCAAAATGCTACTGGTATATTGGCTGAAAATAACATATTAACATGTTAAATAAATTTCACCTATTTTTTGTCCTGTTTTTGTATATTTATGGTAAATTTCAATATGGGTGCATGGGTGATAGGCTTGGGGGCTGAGCACTGGGCAGAATCATACTGTTAATTGTAAGGAGGGTTTGAATAAGGCCTGGGAGAGATCGCTAGATTACACAAACATGCACGGATGACATCTAAAACCTATTCCGGCAGGGTTGGTTTTTTTTTTTGGTTTTTTTTAATAATGAGGAAAAAATTTACAAGAAAAGTTACAGCAAAACTCTTAAAAGTACATTTTGTATTTTACCCCCTCTTTAGCTTTATTAATGTGTAATAGTTATTATGGTTCTTTATTGTGAAGAAGCTATAAGAAGATACAATTTGCTAGCAT